CTGTATTACTTAATACTTGGGTAGCGAGTCGTAACTTCATTTTTTGCTTCGAATTGGGGTTAATATGCTTTTCTCTCAATTTTGGTGCATAAACAAAGTTAGGATTATTATTGTCCTTCTCGTAAAACAACTCTATATGACTCCATTTAGCAATACCTACAACAATATTATACCATTAAAAATAACATTCGATGTTAAACTAACATTAGAAATAACAAAATTTATTAATGTTTGGAAGTATGAATGAACTAATGAAACTTTGACATTATCAATTACTAGCTTTCGCCCGCGACTCCGTCCGAGTGGAATTAAAAAAAACAAAAGTGAGTAGCCTATGTGTTCTTCCAGACTATACTCCACATCTATGCCAAATTTCATCAAGATCCGTTCAGCCGTTTAGCCTACATAAACAAACATCCATCCATCCATCTAAACTTTCGCATTTATAATATTGGTAAGAAGTAAGAAGTAAGATAGTTTGTTTACCATCATTCTTAGTTCTTCTCGGTATTATATCAGATGGACATACTATGTCGTGTTTTATAAATAAGTTTCTGAAGCATTTGAATAAATGTGGTGGGTCAAAGAGTGTAATAACCTCGCGACCTTCTACAGTAATCTGTGGTTGATCTTGGGAAGCACCGAATAAACCTAATGTCTTTTTATTAACGTCATCCATATGACAAACTGTTGCTACAATATTCAATCCTGCCGCAAAACAGTGATGCATAACCTGTAATTTTAAAATAAATAATTAACTAACTTTTGCCCCTTACTCCGTCCAGGTAGTATTAAAAAACTTGGTTAACAATTGTCTTCTTCCCGACTATATCCTACATTACCAAATTTCATCCAGATCCGTTATCATTCCGCATATACCTTCTAACATCCATCCATGTAAACTTTCGCATTTATATTACTATGAACTATGATTTACAAGAAGCAATTCTATATATAGGTTTACTTGGGTCAGTTAAAGAATAGTTAGATGTGGCTGCATGTTTATTTACATTATTTTTTTATATTTAGTTTATTATATTAAAAATAATTGATAAACTCACTTCTACCAGCAGAGTACAAAGACGATCTGCGTTGATTGTTGTCCCAGAGAAATAAAAAGCAACAGGTTGTTTTATCTGTTGCTGTATTCCGGCTATCATGAAGATTACCGCGTGGGACGCTGCACGGACAGATCTTCCGTGGATACCATGGTCTTGGACACCATCAATTCTGTCATTTTTTGCATCATATTCAAAATGTTTTCGAATAGACATGTGACCAAACAGTAATATATAATGATTGTCGGATAATTTTTGTTCTTTTGCATGGGTTTTTAATAAGTAGAATAGCTTTTCATTACAGCCCACATCAAGTTCAAATCGAGTCAGTAAATTTCTTAATAATCTAGGGCCTGGTAGATTAAAAAATCTTCTTAAAAGTCTGTAGCATGTTGGTGATCTTTTATAAAGGCATAGAGACATAATTTTTTGGTTCAAACTCCATCTTTTTGGATGAGGTTTTCTTTCCGAGTTCTTCGTCTCTTCTTTTAGTGTTAAAGAAAATTTAGAATTCTTGAGATTTAATAATTTGTGGACATTTTCATTGTCACAAATTTTCTTTATTTGCATTGTTGTACTTAAATGGCTAATTTGATATTTTAATTGACGAATTTGTTGAACTAGCTTTATCCATTCATTATATTGTGAATCTTCTTTCTTTGTTGCAATTTCCTTGGGCGATATAGGTGACTCATTTGTAGATGTTTCTGGTTCAGATAAATTTGCAGTATTGGTAATATTTTTCTGTGAAGTACAAGGCTTGTCTGCCATTTTAATTATAACATCCTCTTTTATTACAATGGTACGTGGCTTTGACTTTCTCTGAAAAATGAATGATTTTTATAAGTGATTCTTTTATTAATCGAAGATGACTTAAGTGTATTTTAATTTAAGATAAGTTGATTTTTTTTTCACCTTAATGTTGAATGATTACTTGAGGTAGTAAATGCTACTTATATAAAACAAATCACATACAATTTGGTAAAGATACAGGATTTTATTCAAATCCTAGTGATATGTTTACTATTGATTATAGTCACATGCTTCAACATGCATATATCAACTAGGGTTGTAACGGAGTCCTTTAACGGAAACAGATGCGGAGGCGAAGGTCTTCACCTCTGCCGAAGTGGAAGAGGAATCAGAGGTCAATAATAAAATATTAATTGGGATTTATTAAAGAAATACAAACTAAAACTATGTTTATTCAAAATACAGATTGGTACATAATTACAAGACACAGTTTATTATGAAAATATAATGTATCACAATTTTAGTTAGTTGACATAACGATACTTAGTCGACCCACTCGTGTTTAAGACGTAAATTAACCTTCGTTAAAACTTCGCATAAGAAATAACGGAAACGGAAACAGATGCGGACTTATTATTTCTTGCAGAAGTTCTGCACTTGCGGATGCGGAAGCGGAGTTCCGTTACAACCCTAATATAAACATTCACACACAAATACTTACATTGTCACATTGATTTCCCGGTACGGCAAATCTATGAAGCTGTTTAGTAACCGGACTAATAAATGCTGACTCATTAAAATGTTGGTCACATAGCATTTTGTGATTTGAATGTAATTTTTTATGAAACTCCACAGAAGACCATTGTTGACGTTTGGGGTAACAGTATTTTGCCCATGATTCACACCTAAAAAGAAGATATGGAATAAAGTGAGTTAAAAAATCTGAATTATAAAACAATGGGAAAGTTAAGTACAAATTATTACTAGACAGAATATAAAAAAATGAAATTTAAACTGTCTGACTTTAACCACAAAATTATGCAGAATTACACAAACGTAAAAAAAACCTTTATCTGCTTGTAAACATTTTTAGGCTTTTTAATAAAGGAATTTATACTGTAAATGTAGAGGCATGGGGAGAGTACAATGTTTCTGTGAAAGCTGCTAATATTGCTATCATACTAAATTTTGCAAAATTAAATAACTGCAATGTCTTTAGCTCTATCTACTTCCACACACCTTTCTAAAACACTTATACATACATATATCGATAATTACACCTATTACATATATGTACTATGAAATCTAAAAACAGACAAACGACACACTTAAATCCTTACAAATAGAAAAAATAAATAACAGATACTATGGAAAAAAAGTATTGTGTGCTGCTCCAGCTTAGTCTTCAACATCATCACTATTACAACAGCGCACTATAAGGCTTCACTGGAGCTCGAAGCCTACCCTAAGTTAGGGGCGACTAGGCCATAGTAAACCATTTTTGAATATCTTCGCAGATATGTAACAGTTGCATCACGATGTTTCCCCCAGCTTAGTGGATGACACAAAGTAAAGTTTTTATAAACATTTAGATATTTTTACTTAGTGTTATGGCATTTCTTGCGTTTGAAGCCGCACGGGAGCTATTAGTATAAAGAATATGACTTACCGGTTCAAATTCGATTTTCCTGGTTTAGGAAAACGATACAATTTTGTATCAAGATTGTGAGCTGGTGATTTACCGCACTTTAAACAGCTTCTTTGACTTTCCTTCATAATAACATTTTTTTGAAGAAACAAAACAATTTTTTTTAGATCACTGATTTTGACGTATGTAAATTGGTTGAACAGATCAGCTCACAAAGACTTGAACCTTTGAGCTGCGGCTCTACGGCTAAATTAAAAGCTCACAGCAGCTCACAGTTCAAAGCGATGTACTACAAGCATGGAAGTAATATCACACAGTACATCCATGACTACAAGAATACAACTATTTAATCCGATGAGCCGCAAATTGTGCGGCAACTCGCAATTGACGCAAATCATATCTTTTTGGATATAAAAATTAAGCTGATTTGAGAACCGTTTTATTGGTCTGTAACTGATTTGCAGATCACCAATTTTAGTGGAGCACATGTCTACTAGTTTGCTAAAATCGAGTTGCTAGACTAATTTGGTTAATTATTAGTGAGAATATTATAATTGGATGAAAAAGTATGTAAACAATAGTATAATTAGTACATAAATGATTAACTGAACTATTAACATAAAATCAGAGTCAGAGATATAAAATATTGTGACTCAATTTTCCATTTCCGGTTGATTTTGTATACTATCTTGGCAACACTAAATTGACAGGTGTGTCTGTTTCAGTTTTTTTAGTTTTCAAAAGTTTAAGAAACGTTATGACGGAAACCAAACTGACAAAACAAAGATTTCAAACTGCAACGGTGGATTGGTTTATTTCGTTTTTATTGTAGAGCGTGAATTTAATTGTTAAATTGTTCCGTAATGAAATCTTTGCCTTAATACTGCATATTCATAAAATAAGTTCATCATGCAACTTAAATGGAAGTGTATTATTTCAAATTGGGTATGAATAGAAGCTTCATGAGTTTACGTATTTTTTTAACGAGCTTTTTTTTAATACTGTCTGTTTATTTCAGATAAACTGTTACTTTTACGACAACAATAACAAACATGAACCGCAAGTTAATCAAGAGTTGCTACTTAATATTATCAATCACCTTCGTCAAAATTTCAATTTGGACGAGTCGAAATCATCAATTTTTAGTGGACAGACATTAGAAGAATTTATTGCTGAAAAGTTCCCAGGATTTTTATTTCAAAATGGTACACTTCAAGCCATAACCGAAGACGATATATTCATAGCAGCATCTCTTTTGCTTTTCTTCGTTTGCGTTAACTCAAAAGATGTAAACATAAAAAGTGCTATGTGCAGTAAACTCAGCGCAAGCGATCAAGAAATTATACTAAAGTTTAGTAAAACTCTAATGGAATGTCCAAAGATATCATCTCTTGATGTAGTTGCTGCTATAACAGGTCAGTAAGATATTCTTTTTTTATTTATATAGCAAATTTTTAATGCTAGCAATCTAAAGTGACACAAAATTTGACCTAACATTCATTAAGTTCAGAAAGAGTTTTAAATGTAATAATGTAAACAGCAAATTTAATGTAATGTAATATTCGTATATCAAATATTTTATATGTGTAACAAGACAATAGACAATTAAATTATAAATATGACTTGCCATTTAGCTTAACTCCTAGTTTTGTTAGCAACACAAGATGTATAATAAGAGGGGTGAATTTTTTTCACACTAGCAAATGTCCCAGCTGTTCAAAAGAGCAGCTGGTAGATGTTGAAAGGTTGTTAACCATCTGTTTCCTGAATTAGCAAATTTAATACTAGAAATATTTATTTTAAATTATGGTTACTACTTGACAGTATTTAAGTATATAATGTAACTTTTATCTTTACTTACTATAGTCATTATTGTGCATTTTTTTAATTGTAAAATTCTTATGTTTTTTTACCTTATTGGTAAATGTCTCATTTAAGAAGTTTTGAAAGTGATTGATTTTTCCTGTTTATTTCTTCATATCATTGTACAAACTAAGAAAAAGCTATCACAAATCATTTAATTTAGTAAATATCATTATATATTGATATATCCTCTTTATGTATTTTTTCCCTTTCATCTTTTTGAGTGCTATTCATGTCTGTTCATTTTTTCCTCTCTTATATTTAGAGATCAAATGTTTTACTTGTAACATAAGTTGTATTATATTAGACTACACTTCTATACTAATATAAAGAGGAAAAAATTGTATTTTTGTATGTATTGTAATAACTCAAAAACTACTGGACCGATTTTAAAAATTAATGATTAAAAAACTATGTTATCTGTTAGTAACTATACTTTTTATTGTTTTTTAATTTCACACAGACAAAGTCGCGAGCAACAGCTAGTTTTCGATTTAGTAGAATTACATTAAACTATGAGATTTCTTCACCTCTGCGAGTGCATTGGTTTCAATGCAGTAATAGGACTTCCTAAGTATAACATTGCTTTTACATGATTATGTTGACAATGTAATTGGCTTATGATAGACAAGTTTTTATATGCTTCCTGAGAAATGGATTTGTAACAAGGATATACTGTTTACATATCTTATTGTTATTTCTTTGCCTGTGATAAACAAAGCAGTATAATAAATACTCCACACATCAGTCCAGTCTTTATGATTATTCTAACAAAATTGAAAATCAAGTTATAACACTGAGTTTACAGAAGCGTGCGGACCCGATATGTCGACTGGCGAGAGTTGTGGGCGCTCCTTGGTAGCGGAGACTCCGCCTGCGCTGCGCTCGCTGCACGGCGAAGTCCGCCGTCTGAAGGCCGCGCTAGACGCGGAGCGCTTTGACAGGAATTATCTGCAGGATGAGCTTGCCAGAACCAATTTGAAGCTAGATAAGTTAGGTAAAGTAATTTTTAAAGTCATTGTAAAACAAACATATTATAAACAAAGAAGGACTCTTACCATATCTCTCACTTCTATTAGTCTCCTCAAATTTTTCCTGTGGACAGCTACTTCTGACAGTAGCCAGTCACCAATTTCACATTCTCTCTTCCCATCTTGTATACTTATGTGTCATATATTAACTGGAATGCTTTATAATAGTCAAATATTTTAGAGAAAGACAAAGAACAATACAAGATAGATATAGTGAATCTGAAGGCAAAGATGTCAATGTGTTGTGGAGAGGCCGAGGCGCGTGGTGGGGAGGTGGAAAGCAGTGAGAACAGCAAACTGACCAGACAACTGCAACAGATGGAACAGCGCCTTGTTGACGTGCAGGAAGAACTGGATGAAGTCAAACACGAAAGGGACAATTTGAAGACAAAGGTCTGTGTTACATAGAAATTACATCATGTTTAATTGCAAATTTTAATTATATTTATTACTTGTGTACAATGCTTACAGTCTGTGACTCAAAAATATTTTCCGTAAAAATTTACTAACATAATGACATAAAAAAGTGAAGTAACATATGTCTAATAGTCCCCTAAATGGAGTATACGATTCCATTTTCTACTTTATTTTGGCTTTAAAATTAAATATGGCATTTCTTTGAAGATTCATTTTTATCTTCGATAAAAAATTTCAGTTGGACAACTTAAAAGGTGAATGCGACAGATTGATAGTGTTGAACCAACAAGAGAGCTCTCAGGCCTCTCAGCTGTCCGAGGAGTTGGAGAACGAGAGGCGGCTCAGCCAGAGCCTGCGCGAGCTGGTGGCGGAGCTCCGCCAGCACAACCAGCGGAACAGGCTCGACGCCAGCATGGAGTGTGACGACCCTGATGCCAGTCTGCTCTCTCTACAACGGAGTTTCAGTAAGAATCATTTTTATATGAAAATATTAAATCTTAGACTATGTCTAGAGATGTGATAGATATGAGTCAAAATAATGATTGTTTTATGATATTTTCCGTATTACAGCCGTATGTAACGATGTTTGTGCCAATGTAGTTGAAGTCCAGTTAGGCGAAGAAAGAGCAAAAATTGAAGCACTTAAACAACAAATAGACTTGTTGCAGGTATTAATATTTTTTATTTTTTCATAGACATGTAATTTTGCAATTTACAAACTTAATTTTGGATATTTTTTTGTAGGACGAATGTAATGAGCATCAACAAAATGTCAACACATTCAAGCAGATTATTTCAGAAAAAGAAAATGAAATTTTTAACCTTAAACATCGCATTAATGAGGAAATTGAGGACAAAAATAATTTAAAGTCTTTTTTGGACAATGAAATTACAAAATTGAACAATGTTGTTAATGAGTTAGAACAAAAACTTAAATCTCAGAGCGAACAATGTAAAATGATTAACGAGAAACATGTACACGAAGTTCGAACATTACAAGATGAGAAAATGTCCCTCATACAAAGTTTATCAGATCAAGCCAGAAAGTCAGATATACAAATAAAGGAATTAAAAGAGGAATTGGACAAAGAGAAAACTTCTAAAATTAACATGAGAGATGATTATGAAAATCATGTTATGAAATTAAAAGAAAAAGTATTAAATAGAAACAATGAATTGGTGGAGTTGCAAAATAAGATTTTACAAAAAGGTGAAATCATTGAACAATTAAGTTTGGAACTTCGCAAAGAGAAGGAATCTAATAACGTTAAAATTATCGAACTTACAAATGATTTTGCGGTTTTGAATGAACAAAAACATGAAATAGAAAAGGACTTAAAGGACAAATGTTTAGAAACTACAAAATTAGTAGATGAAATACACAAATATGAGATTTCCATTGATACATTGAACAAAGAACTTGATTCTTTTAAAACATTGTCAACTAATTTGAAAGAAGAATGTAAAACTTTAGAAGAAACTAAACAATCTTTACTAGACGACGTTCAAAATGGACAAATCAGTGCTGATAAAATGCGCAAAGAACTGGATAACTTGAGGCAGTTGCACATTGAAGAGAAGGATAAACTTGGGTGTAAAGTTGACGAAATGTGCGCTATGGTGAAATCACTTCAAACTCAATTGCAAAATGAGATCGACTTTAAGTTAGGATTGCAACGTGAGTTGGAAAAGACACAGGGTGTTATCACAAAATTATCAAACACCAACACAAAACTGAACACTGAATTGGCAGAAACAATCACAAAAATACAAGCTAAAGATGAAATAATCAAGACTAATGATTTATCTCTACAAGAAGAACGAGATAAGTGTATAAATTTAAAACGAGACTTTGACAAGCTTAGGGTTAGTATTGAAAAAGTCTCAAATGAAGTTTTACAAAAGAGTCAAACATTAAAGGAATATGAAACATTGAATGAATCGTTGCAGGTAGAAATCGCAAAAAATAATGAACAAATTAGAACACTTCATACAGAGTTGGCGAATGTCAATGATGAAAAGTTAAGTTTGCAAACTTCCATTACATCATTGAGACATGAAAAAGACACAGTCATAAACGATAAGGATTTACTTTTACATAAAGAAAAGGAAATACACGAAGTACTTAAAAGGGAGTATGATGCTTTACAAATGTTTGTAGAATCATTAAATATTGAAAAGGACAAAATTATTAAGGAAAAGGATCTACTAATACATGAAGAAAAGAAAACTCATGAAATACTCAAAAAAGAGTATGATGATTTGAAAACTTTTGTTGAAATATTAAAGAATGAAAAAGATAATGTTATAAAAGACAAGGATTTACTTTTACATAAAGAAAAAGAAGAATATGAAGTACTTAAAAAAGAGTGTGATAGTCTACATACTTCCATTGAATTATTAAAGAATGAAAAAGATGAAATAATACAAGAAAAAGATTTACTTTTACGTAAAGAAAAGGAAACACATGAAGTACTCAAAAAGGAATGTGATTGTCTACAATATTTTGTCGAATCATTGAAAAACGAAAAAGATAGATTAACAAAAGAGACTGATATACTTTTGCATAAAGAAAAAGAAACACAAAGTGTACTTAAAAAAGAATACGATAGCCTGCAAACTTTCGTACATTCATTAAGAAATGAAACAGATAAAATTATAGAAGAAAAAGATTTACTTCTGCATCAAATAAAAGAAGAATATGACGTACTTAAAAAGGAGTGTGATGACCTTAAAATTAATTTGGAAAAAGTTTCCAGTGAATTAATCTTGAAAGACAAAGTAATACAAGAATGTAATAATAATTTAGAACAGTTAAATACGTCTTTGCAGAATCAAGTTACAACAACCAATGAAATTATTGATTCACTGAAAAAAGATTTGGTAACATTAAATGCAGAAAAGCAAAGTCTTCAAGACGTAATAAAATCACTTACAGATGAGAAAAATAAAATCACTATAGAAAAAGAAGACATTTTGCGTAAAGAAAAAGAAATGTACAACAAATTAAAAGAGGATGAGGATAATATTAAAAAAGATTTGATTATGGTATCTAAGGAACTGACAATAAAAGAAACTCTGTTGAAACAACATGAAGAAAAACTGACAAACCTAAATGATTATTGTAAAACGGAGATTTCTAAATATACAGAAAAAATTGATACACTCAACCAAGATTTGACTATTGCTAATGTACAAATCCAAAAACTTCAGGACTCCATTCAATTAATAACACAAGAAAAAGATGCAATTATCAAAGAAACTGGTTTACAATTACAAACAGAAAAGGAAATGTATACAAAACTTAAACAAGACTTTGACCAACTTAATAAAGACATGGAACAACTAAGTATTGATACTGAAGAGAAAGACAAAATAATACAAAAATGTGAAAATGAATTACGACATCTTAATAAATGTTTGCAGGACGAAATAAATAAAAATACGGATATAATTACATCAATTAACGAAGACTTAAAGACTGTTAACGCCGAGAAAGAAAGTCTACATAAAACTATAATATCATTAAATGATGAAAAAAATAATTTGATTAAAATTGTTAATGAAAAAACAGACTTTATATCGGAATTGGAGTCAGAACGTGAATTGCTATCGAGGAAAATGGAAGAGAAAGGCGCAAGTAAGTTTTAAAATATTATTTTGCATGCGTTAAACGTAAAATTATCATATATTCTTATTCTTTTATTTTATTATTACAGCGATTAATGGTTTGGAGCAAAAGTTGCAAGACAAAATGTTAGGTTTTATGGAAATCGAAAATAATTTCGGTACTGAAATTTCAAAACTTATGGCAAAATTGAGTGACACTGAAAAAACTTTCAAAGATATTAAATCAAAATCTAATACTATTATAGAAAATCAGGAATTACAAATACAATCATTGAACGGGGACATATTTACTCTAAAAGGTAAATATGACAGTAGTCTAAAAGAAATAGGCAAATTGGAAAAGAACTTAAAAGAAATGAATACGAAATATGAGAAAGCAGAAAAAGATTACCAAAATAAATGTAAAATACTAGAAGATGCAAATAATAAGAAGCGAAACGAAATAACATTAAAAGACACAAGTATTTATGAATTAAACATGAAAAATACTTCACTATCTTCATTAGTTGCAGAGCGAGAAAAAGGTGTTTATTTATTTTTTTATTGTCTTCCACATGTAGCCATAAGTTTATTTTTTAATGAATACTTGATTTTTTGTTTTTTAGAACTAACCATTTTGCGAGATGCAAATAACGAATGGAAATGTAAAAAAGATCTTATGGTTGACAATTTGAAAAAAGAAAAGGAAGAAATATTAAATACAGTAGAAGAATTAAACAATAAAACAGAAGAATTGTGTGAAGAGTTAAAAGAAAAGTCACTTAAAGTAGATACTTTAGAAGAAGAATTAAAAGTATGTAATAACGAAATTGCAACTTTGGAGAAAGAAAAGTCTCTATACAAAGCATTATTAGTTGAATTAGAAAAAGACAAAGACAATTTGATGAGTAAGAATAGAAAATTGGAAAGTGAGATTAAGGAGTTGCTCGAAGGGAGAAATAACTTGGAATCCAACTTAATTAAATTGAAAACTAACTTTGACGAATTGAAAAATAACTTGGTCGTACTTGAACAAGAAAAAACTGAAATGAGCAATGAACTGAAAAGAACTAAGATAGGTATGTTTGTAATGGCTTACGATTTTAATTTTATTTTGTATTTTGTTATCATTAATATAAAATTGTATAAGCAATAGTCATATTAATTTGAAGTAATTATTTTTTCAGATCTAAAAGAATTGGAAGAAGAATACCAGAATGAGTTAGAGGTTAAAGATGAAATGTGTGAGACCCTTAAGAAGAGAACAAAACTCTTAGAAGATTATAAACTACTACAGGATAAAAGTAACAATGACCTTATGAAATTAGAAGAGAAAGAATCCGAAATAAACTCATTAAAACAGGAGATTAACAATAAAAATGACAAAATATGTAAATTAGAAGAGTCTGATAATAGAAAGGAAATAACCTTTATGGAATTAAAACAGGAGAAAGAAAAATTGGAAATTGAAAAGGATAATCTTATTAAGGAGAGAGATTGCATTTTAAACAAAATAGCGGAAGTTGAAAATAAAAACCTGGTATTAGAAAATGAACATTTGCCGAAATTGAAGGAAGACAATTTACGATTGTCTAGATTAACTGAAGAAAATAAAACTGGTAATTTATTTTATAATATACTACCTTTCGCCCGCGACTCCGTCCGCGTGGAATTAAAAAAAAAACAAAAGTGAATAGCCTATGTGTTCTTCCAGACTATCCTCTACATCTATACTAAATTTCATCGAAATCCGTTCAGCCGTTTAGACTACAAACTCTAACAAACATCCATCCATCTATCCATCCATCCATCCATCCATCCATCCATCTATCTAAACTTTCGCATTTATAATATTAGTATAAAGTATATTATTAGTATAAAGTATATTATTAGTATTAAGTATTATTGTCATTGTTGTTTTTACAAAAACATTATTTTACGTTTAATTTAATTTTGCGTTAAGTATGAAATGTTTAGCTCTACAGACGGAGAATATCACGTACTTTCTTTTTACAGTCATAACAAATTTAGAGAAACTATTAAAAGACAAATCTGAAGAAATTGATAAACTGAGTCAAAATTATGACGCAGATAAAGCGACTCTTACAAATAAATGTCAACTTTTGGAGGAAAATCTAAAAGAGTCCATATTGGATCTTGGTAAACGAAACACCGAAATTAATGAACTAAGAAAAGAACTGGAAATATTTATATCAGAAGCAAAACAACGTGAAATTGAATTACAAGAAAATAATAAAACATTACTTGAACAATATGAAGAAAAAGATGTTAAATTACGTGAACTGATAGAAGAATTGAAAGAAGGGAAAGCGACCATATCACGATGTCAACAAGAACTTCAAAGCAAGGATATTAGAATCTTAGAACTTAAACAAAGACTGAATATGGCTGAAACTGAGAATAGAGAAGTTTTGCAAAACGAAACATTGCATTTTACGGAAACTCTGAAGAAAAAAGATGAAGGTAAATATGTTAAAAATCTTTTAAACTTTTAATAACCAAGGTATCGATTAATTTTATTTATCTTTACTTTTTCTTGTGCTTTTGTGTTTTGTCACTAAATATTTTATGATCATCTATTTGATATAATGTTTACTCTTCTAGAATGTGCTTTATTACGAAACGAGAATAACGAATGGAAAATCAAAATAGATGCCTTGGAAGTTGAATTTAAAGATGAAAAGAAAACTCTACAAAACGAACTACAAGCACAAGTTAATAACAATGAAATATTAGCAAAAGATCTTGAACAGACAATTGAACAATCAAAAACGCTTAGTGAAAAATTACAAATTTCTAATAATGAAATGACAGAATTAAGAAAAGAAATTAACGACATCAAAAATGAAAATGAAAAAATTGCAAGCGACAATAATTTAATAATTCAAGAGAATAATGACAATATTGCAAAATTAAATGACCTACAGAAAGAATTTGATGTTTTACAAAATGAATTGACTCAAATTAAAGAAGATAACGTGCGACTGAAACATATTGCAGAAAAATATGAATCAGGTAAGTTTATTGTTTTTTGTATAAACGTGTTTTGACAGAATAACAATAAATTATATATGTTTTTCAGAGATTATGACTTTGGAAAGGATAATCCGTAAAGAAATGGAACTAAATGATAATCTATTTGAAGAAAATATTGATAAACTAGACATTATTGACAAATGTACAATTTTACAAGAATATAACAAAACGATACAACAAGTCTTGGAACAAAGAAGAACAAAAATAAATGTACTAAAAGAGGAAATTAAAACTGTGACTTCTGACGCTAAAGCTCGTGAAATTGACTTGAAAGAAAAGAATGAAATGTTAACAAAGATGTTAGAAGAAAAGGACGATATTATTTTAAAAATCAATGAGGATTTGGCTAAAGAAAAAGTAATTAGTGTCGAATACCAAAAGCAAGTGCAGTTACACGAAAACGATATCAGCGAATTGGAGAAAAAATTGAGCCTGTTGAAAAATGACGTCGACCGAAACAACCAAATCGAATCAAGTAAGTAACATCTTGTAAGTTGCGGGTTTTAAAATGTATTGCAATTTTGTAAAACTTACGTAAATTATTGCAGATGAGGCCAAGAGAATAGAAAAGTGTGAGGAGGCCGAGACGCGCGGCTCTGCGCTGCAGCACGGCCCCGACACTCAGGTATATAGCTCTTCATCCGACATCACCCATTCCGCCATGGAGAAGAACAAAATCATTTCTGATCTAGAGAGAATACTGACTGACAAAAATAGGACCATAAGTAATCTTAACAGTGATATAACCTATTTGAAGTCGTTGATGGCCGAGTCGGAAAGCGAGGTACTAGACAAGAACAAGGAGCTAGAGTTGAGCAGAGAGAACTGCCAGCAGCTCTCGCTTCAGCTCAAGAAAATCGTCCACCAAAAGAATGAGGAAATATTGGACCTGAAAAAGCAGATCACGAAGATGAGTCTCACGGAGAACCGCGCCTCGCAGATCATCAAGGTGTCGGCCCGGTACCAGGAGATCATACAAAAAAGAATCGCTGAAATTAAATCCGACACCGCGCTAAAGGAGTTGACGAACTTCGGCAACGCCGCCAACTGCGACCTCAAGCGCAGCCTGAACTCGGGCTCCATCACGATGGAGGACCTCGAGAACTTCCTGGAGACCACCGACCGGCACCTGCGGCACTGCGCCGAGAGACGCGCCGCGCTGCAGAAGGAGCGCGACAGACTGCTAGAGGTCAACAGGATTAACGAGTCGGACGTTATCAACATAAAGAAGTTCCTCACCGAGCTCTCCGTCAGCGTGAAGACGTTCAATTCCTACAAGGAGATGTACTCGCAAAAGCTGAGTAGGGTGATTCTGCTGCAAAGGACGGTGAGGCGAGAGATACTGAAGGTGGAGGAGCGGCTG